TTTAAATTACATAACTCCATAAAACTATTCGGGAAAAAAAGAAACGAATATTGTTCATATGGTTGGTTGCAGGATCTCCCTGTTCTATGATTGTTCAGTGGTGCAATCCCTTCGGCAGTGATTATTGAGGGGGAAAGCTAAATACAAGTCAAATGTTTGGCTTCACCTCCACACACAGGCCACAGCCAAGGCAGCATATGTCTCCAGGGCATTGATTAGCAGACTGCATTAACATCACATCACAGCAAACCTGCCATACAATCATCCTGCTCTGCAGAGCTAAATAGAGGCAAGTCAAAACAGGACTCTAGTAATGAACCTGTTGACTTATGAGACACGAGCAGATAAAACATTCAGTGGCATTTACAGTATAGTTTAGGTCCTCCTTGTGCTTACTGTGCACTCCACCCCTCTTCATATTACTTCCCAGTAGTGTGAGCATCTAATATCAGTAACACTTGCTTATGTTTTTACTGTTTAGTGCCTTTTCTTCACACATCTAAAAATATCAAGAAAATAAATAGGCTATATATATATATATATATATATATCTGCCAAGCTCATTAAGTTATATTTATAGCCTTGGTTTTAAAATAAGTTTGAAGTGTAAAGCAAGCAGTGTGAGTTGATTAGATGTAAGCAGCAGAATGAGCGCAGTGTTATCACAAATGGCTGCTTTGTGCACCATAAAAAATTAGCTTTTTCTTCCACAGTCTCAGGGGGGGAGGCCAGTGACCTTCACAATTTCCCCCAAAACAGCAGCCACTACACGGAGGGGCAGCCATGGGGGGGCTATGAAGGGAGACGCCGGTCCTTGTAAGCACAGGGGGTCTGAGTCTACCTGAACAGACCACAAGGAAAACCTTCATGAGCAACCCTCCCCTCTCTTATTTACACTTATAAACACATACACACATACATGCATCCATACTCACTCACCCACCCATAAACACACACACACACACACACACACACACACATACCACCATGTATACATCACTTCAGGGGACATTACATTGACTTACATGCATTTCCTGGAGACTTATCCTAACCGTAACCATAACCAACACATGCCTAACCCTAACCCTTACCCTTAACCTTACCCTAACCCTAATCCTAAACCTAACCAAGTCTTCACCCTAAAATGAATGATTCCGCTCATGGGGACCTCCAATTTGTCCCCATAAGGGAAGCCAGTCCCCACACGTGACTATGTAAACAGATTTAGGTCCCCACAAGTATAGTAATGCACACACACACACACACACACACACACACACACACACACACACACACAACACACACACACACACACACACACACACACACACACACACACACACACACACACACACACACACACACACACACACACACTACAGTACTCGTTGTAATATGTTACTGTAATTCTAGAGCAGTTAGTTAAATTAAAATGTATGACATAATACACAGGCTCTTGCCAAGTTTCATTAATTCAATCGTGAGACTGTACATGTATATTCTCAGTTTACACCAAAGTACATGCAAAGCTGTTTCAACTTTCCCACACTGTTTGTTTGTTCAGCCCCAAAAGCCTTTCCCTGCTGGAAAGAGTGGTGGTACACTGATGTTTACTGTAACCATATTACATTTCAAAAGCATGTAGCCTTTCACCTTCAATGCTCGAGTGTGGTGGACATTTTTGATCTCATCTCAAAACAAAACTCCACAAATCTGCCATCAACAGTATAACATACTCTAACTCCTGTAAGACCTGCATTGACAAACAACATTATTAACACTGTGTGCCAATGCAGTCTGAGAAAGGAGACACAGCTGGCCCGGAAACTGTTCAACACTTAGTAAAAGTGTTTACAGATACTACTTGATAGAGTGGAAGTCATCATCATAATTACACCGCTTAACAACAGAGCTGCAACAATTAGCCAACTAATACATTTGTCGATAAACATAAAAATAATATTCAACTACTATAATAATCGTTTAATCGTTCCCAAAAACAACAAAAAGTGCAGTTTTCAGCCTCTATGGAGATTTCCTGCTTTTCTCTGTGTTTTATTCATTAAAAAAAGTGAATATCTTTGAGTTTTGGACTTGGACTTTAAGGAACTGGAATGGACATGTTTCACAATTTTGTGACATTTTAAATTATAAATAATGTATTGATTAATCCAGAAAATCATCAGCAGGAAATTCATTAGACTAATAATATCTTTAGTTGTATATTTCTGTTCAAATCAAAATAAGTAGATAGAAAGATAATATATTTGAGATGTACTAACTTAGATGATATCACCTGTGCATCATTTTACAACATCTTAGTTTGTTTCTTTTTCCATTACATAACAAACATTCTTGGAGAATAGCATGGGTGCTAAAAATGCTAAATGCTAAAAATCTAAATAATGTTACGCAGCTTGACCATGACCTGAAACTGCGTGGCTGCCCTTTGTCACTCTTACCCTGTCTGTGAGACTGGCCTGTTTGACTCGTGGCTGGTCACGGTCCATCTGGCTCGAGGAAAGCTGCTCCCTCAGGGCCCTGCTCTCCTCCAGCCCGCTGACCTCAGAGCTCTCACCTGGGTCCAGAAAACAGATCATGCATAAAGAAGTGTCAATCTTACTACATAGTCTGTTTGCCAGCTCATAGAAACCTATTGTGAAGTTGGGACTGCAGCACATAGAGACTGCCAGATGCTCATTTTCATATGTTGGGCAATTTGAACATTAGCATGAATTGTGTTAATTAGCAATACTAACCATTATAGCTTATGTTGACAAGAGTTTAAAAATGGCTTGGCAGATTTGGAAATGTGTTGAGTGGTTTTGGAGGTTATTAGGATGCTGAATCCATTTCTGACATTTCCAGGATCGACGATGGCAGTTTTTAACAGAAAATACTAGCCATATTTGTACTCCCGGTGGTCACTTTCTGGTTCTGCCATTTTTATCCTATACTATACATTTCTAAGATAAAACTCTCGGTTGCTCAACATGCATGGCAACTACACTAACATGGTGAATGATGACCAAATCTAGTAAGGGAAGATTCATCGTTTGTATTTAATGTGTTCAGTTTGAATTGAAGCTCTCTTCCTTACCGGCTGGCTGCTCTGCCAGGTTGCGGGTAATGATCTGGCGGATGCAGGTGGAGACAGGCGTAGCAGTCACACCAGACTCCTGTCCATCAGCTCCAAGTGTCAGACTACTCTGTCCTGAACATCCATCAGAGTGAAGCAGAGACTCTTCCAACTTCTACAAAGCGTCACCAACACATCACACAACTGAACTTTTTACTGCTGCATTATGCTTCCGCTCCAATAGTTCATTTTAAATTCTTAAGTTTCTTTACTTTGCAAATTCAGATAAATAATACAAAATGTCATTAAAAGAACCTAATAATGCATTTTATTATATATGAAACTACCTATTAATTGGGAATGTAAAACTTTTACTTTTACAAAGTATTTCTACACTATTGTATTCCTATTTTACTAGAGTAAAAATGCTGAGTTGTTTTAGCAGTAGATATTTTGACTAGTAATAGCAGATGTTAATAATAATGGCTCTGATCTATAGGCTAAAGTTCCACTACAGCGTGACAGTGAGCAAGATACAAAGTACAAAGACACTGAAACTTAAGCAGCTTGCATTAAAGCAATTCCATGAATGAGCTGCTCTTTGTGAAATACCCTGAGAGAAAGACAAGACCAGTTCAATTTTACACATTATTTCCAAAAAGGTACTACCTTTTTAATAACAAAAATGACACTGTGATAGTAAGCCTGAAAACACTATATGAAAATAGTAGCTAGCATAAATGCAATTCAGCCATCTTTAATTGCATTTATTAGCCAAACATTTGTGAAAATAGCTTGATAAAACATGTAAGACGTACAAGCAGACACGAGCTGCTAATGCTTCACATTATTAGACCGTTTTATTGCTATCTTTTTAATTCAAAATCGTTTTAAAATGGTACAGTTTTGACTTGGTATACCGTACCTGAAGGTATTACTTATAACAACCGACACTGTGACAAAGAGCCAGCATTAACATTAAGATTAGCAGCTTAGCATACATGAAATTCAGCCATCTTTTAATTGCATTAATTAGCAACACCTTTGCTCAGATAGACTGATAAAACATGGAAGTATGTGTTGGTGGATACGAGGGGGGCACTGATGCATGTTTACCTCTCTTTACCTTGTAACTTCTAGACTGTTTTCAAAGGCCTTTTTCACAGCAGATACTTTAACTTGACCTGACTCTGCATAATGACAGACACTGTACCTGTAGTATATGTTTCTAATAACCACCATGACAGTGAGCCAACATTAACACATTTATATAAACTAGCAGCTAGCATAAATTGAACGCAGCTGTTACATTTTCAAAACGTTTGCACACTACGTCGACATGAAGCCTGTTTAAACATGAAAGGCGTAACAGTAATGTTACCAACCTGAATCACAGCCTCCAGTCCAGAGTGTGCACCCTGCTCCCGTTCAGAAGTCATTGCTAAACTGGCACAGCTTCAATTAAAGAATGTTAGCTAGCAGGCTAAAGTGAATGGCTTCATTTGACGAAACAGAAACCTTGCTGTAACGTTGCTTTAACTGAGGCTGAAGAGAGAGTAAGTCAAACGGTGAATAAATAACAAAAAGCACCAACCTAGCATCTCGTTTAAGTAAAGTAATAAGAAATAAAGAAACAACTTGTACCTGTACAAAAAGGTAACGTTAGAGAGTAATAAAGAAATCACTGTCAACACTTTTTTAAAGCCAAGATACTTTAGGAGTGACTGCTGATCCTTGTCGATGTTGCCATGGTCACCAGGCGCTTGGGCAGTTGCCATAGAAATATAATGCTGGCTTGGGTGTTTCCATGGCAGCACAGACGCCACGAGCCAAGTTGCTGGATTCCGATGGGTTAATGTTCAGAAAGGCACTATATATATGCAAAGTAAACAGTGTTTTACTGAAAATGATTTACAGCTGGTTGTCGGACAGTTTTATGCAACACATTTTATTGATAATTAGTTGCAAACCCATGATCTACAACAAATAATAATAATACTCACTCTGCAAAGATGTTGTGGCTGAAGAACACCATTCAACAACTCAAACACATGATATGCCTACAAAGTATAAATAAACACCTGCTGAGCAGCCAAGCAAGGCCATAAAAACAACCCAGAATATCTGAGGATCATGTAGCACCTATTCTCAGGCACAATGATATCCTGGGATAAACATTCCATTTGCATCGTCATATAGATATGAACAGGTCTGTGTCTCCGTGAACTCCTCAACCTGGGGTTTTTGTCCCATCAGGAAAGGAGGCCATTATGTTGAGTCTATGCTGAAAAGCTCAGTCCACTGGGACGGATCAAGGAAGGTGGTGCAGACTCCACTGTAGAACCAAAGTCTCGGCAGGTAGCTCTCCACCTCCCAGGTGTCGGTTGTTCGGTTGTAAACCTCAACTTCCACCCCATAGTCCCCCCTCCATCCCTTTCCAATGGCCTCCAGTGACAAAAAGCCTCCCATCCAGCGTCACCAGGCCACCATTCTCATGGAGCATGTGGAGAAGCTGGATCTAAAATCACAGGAGAATAAAAACGGATTATTTTCCTTTATCCTGTTCAAATAGCAGTGAATGATGCATTGTATTACTTTGTCAGCTGTGATATCGGAGCCCACCTTCTGCCACATGTTCGCCTCTGGATCATAAGAGTAGACTTTCTTAGTGTTGTCAGCAACCAGATAAATAGTTCCATCCATACAGACAGAACGAGGAGAGGACAAATACTTAGGGATGAAGGGCGAACATATGGTGGTCCAGCTATCTGAATAAAACAAACAAAAAACAACATGTTTCAGTCAATTGCTTTACAATGAGTAAACACAATAAGTAATGACAGTTATGTAACTGCATAGGGTGCTGGTTCCCTCTTTAAATCAAGGTTTTCATGAAATTGTGCTTGTTTAGATGCCTGAAATTAGTTTGGTGGTTTACACAAGCTTAACAAATGTAGTTAAAACAAATGTATGTATTGTTATATGTCATATAATACGCCAATAAATACACACCTCATAATTTTTTTTATCTTTTACATGTCTTCAACAGCACTAAGACATGGCAAAATAACACTACAGAGAAAACTCATCCACTCAGCGGTGCTGATATTTAAGTGTACTTACCTATGGCAATTTTATTTACATACAAAAATATCATAAACCTGTGGTTTATTTGTTACGGTTATCTTGAGCTATATTTAAAAATCAAATGGATGCATTCCATTTGTCTATTGACGGGGGGGGGGGGGTCACCCACAGGTCACCCCTGTTGCTGTAAAACAATTATAACTGCTTATTCATTAATGCTTGATCAATAATTATTTAACTAAATATTTAAAAGAGATGGGGAAAGACACACTTATGTTGACAGAAATACTAACACATTTGTACAATATTTATCAATGTATTTCACTGATAGAAATGTATTATGAAGCATAAATATATAGTTAAAACATTATAATTAGCAAGTTAAAATGCTATCTGAAAAGATTGGAAATGGAGCTACACCAACAGGATTGCTTAAATGACTGAAATATTGCAAATGCATTTTTAAAATTGTTGTTATTTATTGTTGCAAATGTCTTACAAATAAAGACTTTGGTAAAAATCAGTTTGATCGTCCTTACCTATAACAGGGTTGTAACACTGCATGGCCAAAGCGTTATATTTCATAGCACAGGAGCCAATCACGTAGAGCTTCCCATGACACGCCGTGGCAGTGAAGTTAGTCACATATTTCAGGGCGGGGCAGGTCAATGCCCAGGTGTCGTTGTAAGGGTCGTAATGCTCAACCTCAACCCTATTTGAAGTTGTACCTGAAGGAGGGGAATGAAAGTAGAATGAGTAAAGAAGGTAAATCATGCTTTAAACACCCAAACACCTATATAAAATGCTGCTGTCTTCTAGAACCTGTCCATATTTAAAAGTAAAATTCATACAAACGGTTATCGCACAGCTATGCGATTGATGGCATATATGATACTTGAGTTAATCAATGTTTTCCATTGTATTGCTGGGTTACATGCAGATCTGAATTTATTTTCCTACCTCCAATGACGTAAATCTCCCCGTTGAGTGTTGCAGAAGTGTGGTTAGTCCGAGGCCGGAGCATGGGAGCCACAGTAACCCACTTCCCCTCTTTTGTGATGAATTTCCAGGTCTCTGTGGTCGACCAGGTGTTGGTATTCGAACCACGCGAGCCCCCTGCCAAACAGACAATAACCCTTTGTCAAAGGTTTGACGATGTTTTACGTTCCTCGACAGAGAAGTGCGTTCTGCCTAAAATTAGAATCATTACTTCTCCTTTTCCTTCTTAAGATTCTATGTTGCATGTGCCTACCTGTGACGTACACATCATTGTTTAAGGAGACCATGGCGTAACCCCACTTGTTAGGATTAGGAAAATGAGGGAGCTCATGCCACTGTTCTGCAGATAAAAATAAAAGTGAGTTCATTTATGAGCATCATTTAAGTAAGGTAAAAGTTTCACAAATACAGCATGCAAATGAAAAGGTATACCATGGAAATAGGGTTAAGACACATAGAGATGTCCTCAAAGTAAGGAAGAAAAAAAAGGAACAGAACTGTTAAAAAATGATCTTCTCTGGTACAGCCATTATTATGGTTGCAAGTATTCAACATAACAACAGAAATATAACAGTAAGATGCAACAATCTTTTTCATAAAATTACATCCAAAATCATGTACATGTCTTCTTCTAGCTATGCACAATAAAAACGTGATTTGATGAACTGAGAAGATCCAATTTTGTCACATTCAGACCAAATTCCTGCAGAGCTGTTTTTCTGTCAACACTACATTTAACAACCTATGACACATCTGCCAAACTGTTTCAAGGATTCCAAAAGACATTTCACAACACAAATATAGTTGTGAAATGTAATCTGAACTTGAACAAACTCAGCATTTTGTATACATGCAAAAACAAAAATGTAAGTACTTGTCTTTGTGTTGTAGAAAGCAAAATTCCTGGGGAGTAATCTTTGTAGTCTCGGGTCTCTGTCCTCATCATCTGAGTCCTCCTCATCATCCGAGTCATCCAGAGAACGACCTCCCATCACCAGCAGCACCTCTTGCAGGTTTGGTTGTGGACTCTTAGAACTGAGACTGTCTGTGTGTTCTGGTGACAAATCCATTTTCTATAAAAGTTAAAGTCATAATTGTTAATGGGAAATCTACTCAGAATGACCAGATACAAGGGAGAAAGTGTGAACTCACTAACCTCTCTTTGGACTTTTTCCACAGCCTCTCTGCAGCTGGGGGAGCCCTGCACCAGACTGTCCTTCAGCAGGGTGTCTGTCAGGTAGTCCAGGCTGAGCAGCGGGAGACGGGACAGAGTGAGGAGTTCAGGGAGGTCGGAGAGCCGGGACTCCTTGTGGTGCCTGGCCCATTTCAGAATGGCCTCCACACGGGTGCACTCTGTCCGGATTTGTAGTCCTTCGTCGGACAGGCAGGCAACCAACCTCTCCTTCGCCAACAGGAGATACTCCTCACATTGTTGCACAGCTTCAAAGTTCTCCAAGAGGAAGGCCCACGCTTTGGCCATCACCTCGGGGCAGCCATGGATATCTCCAAACTCCAGGATTCCCAGACAGTTGGTGGCATCAATCTGATGCTGAAGGTACCGGCTGCACACGCCTCTCACCGTCTGGAACTGGAGTTGGCTGGAGTTGCAGATCAGCCCCTCCACATTGCTCTGGTTGATGGTCAGTTTGCCTGTGTATGCAAAGTCCAGCAAGCAGCTGAGTATATCAGGATCGACATCATGAAGCTCGACACGCGCAGCTATGCTCTCCACAAAGTCCCCTGAGAACATGCTGTGGAAGTACGTGCTGCAGAGCGCCAACACGCCACGGTGACAGGGGAAGTCCCGACCTCCTGCGCTCAGTGTTACATCCACCAGTTTGGGGTCAGAGCAGAAGGAGCGCAAGCCCTCCAGAATGTTCTGTGGATGGGAGGGCAGGCAGAAGTCCAGGTCATCCACATTGCGCACCATGGTTAACTGCGGTTCAAAATGTGGGTCAAATCAGCTTAAAGCAGGGACGATATAAGACTGAGCTTACCTGCAAGTGTAGGAAAAAAACATAAATATGCAGAAAAAAAACCTATCCATTTGAACAAATGTTAAGCAACAACGTAGCCATGATCTACAAAATATTTTTTAAATGATGCAGACCTGACAATAAGATTGAGTAACTGCTTCACGATAAACTGCAACTACAACAAAGCGTTATTAGTTTTAAAAGTGGTGTATGATAAAAAATATTTTTTCTTTTGACAATTAAACAATGGGACAGAAACAAATTGAACAAATAGAATTGAAGACAAATTGTTAAAACGTAAGTTTATAATTAAAATCTGTTTCTCTACGACCTTTCTGATTTGAGGGGAAACTAACTAAAAGGCCTTTTGTAAAATAGTGCCTTGTTTTCTTAGGTGTGGAGTCGCTGTGTTGTAAGGACTACTACCTTTGGCTCATGATAAGTATGAATTACTGAAATACTATACTCTAATCACATCACAAGCCAACAATACATTACATTTCCTGTCAAAATGAAATAACAACAAACTCACCACAGGAGTAGAGAATGGAAATAATGGCTCATCCTTTTCCAGTAAATAAAAGCTGTTTGTAGCTAAGCGGCAGGTCGGATCAACATGGAGTGGGCAGCATGGCGAAAAACATTAGCCAAGTCATTGGGACGCTGCCTGTCTATCGGTTATTTTTAGAACCGAGAGTGAGGCTGTGCTAAAGTCAGATTCCAAACAACAAGCATGGGGGCCGCAGCTGCTGTTACAGGCACATACCATTCCTCCCAGCAGAGAGGACACATGACGTAGCCCCAGCAGCTACTTTATATATCATGCAACAACTAATTCATAACACCACATACAAGAAGGGATTATTTCAATTTCAAATGTCAGTAGTCAGTGTATGGTAAATAAAAAAATGGTCTTTGGTGGTAGCATGGGTTAACCTGGTCCTATAAGCCTCAGACAGCAAAGAGCGGGACACAGCCTGTCAAAATGGGCCAATCATTTACATTTTTGAGGGGGGATACCAGTGTCCCGTCCTCATTTGGACTGATCCTCGTTTTTGTTTGTCCTCGGTCATTATCATCGTAATTTCATTGCAAAGTTTGCTATTTATCTATTGTATCTATTGAAAAACATAGAGTATCTGAATGTACATGTTAACATTGAACTATTTTAGCACTCTATTGACTGACAGATATAGTAAACAGCTTTCTGTGACTCAGTGTTCCAGCCCTGCTTGGTCCTGGTTTGATTCAGTGCCGGGGGGGACATGCTTACACACAGAGGAGGCAGGTGTCAGCCTGATATCATAAAGTGGCTTGAAGGTCTTCCACAATTATCTGATTTATTTCTCTTTTTCACAGTTTTATTGTTAAAATAACTGCAAAACAATTATCGTCATGAGCCAGTTTTTTGTCACAAAACTTTTGTACCAAAAAATCCATGAGTGGCGTGTGAGACATTGGACACACTGGACACAGACATAAGATTTTAAAGCCTCTTTTTGTTGCTGTTTTGTGACTCTTTCTGTCCTTACTTATCATTGTAAGTCTCTTATGTCTATCCGCTGCTGTTTTATCTTTATCTTTTAAGTTGTTTTATGTTTTTTTTATGTTTATGCTTTTTTTGTCTTTCTGCTTGGTATTTGTCTCTTTGAGTGACATTTTGTATTGCCCCTTTTCCACCAAACCGGATCCGGTTCAAGAATCGTTCTTTTGATTTTCTGGTGCTGAACCGGTTCTTCTCTGTAGCACCACTTGTGTTTCCACCGCTCAGAGCCCGAGTGGAGCTCGAGTGGAGCTGCGTCATTGCGTCATCGTTTGCGTCATCACGTAAACATTTATGTGCCTTCTTATTACACCCACACGGCGCGAAAATCCCTCATATCGACAACAACAACAACGATCCCGGTAGTCTTTCTTGAGTTTTTTTAGCTTGTTGCTTATTTGCTCCAGAGTCCGTTGGTATCCAGCGGGGCCAACTCCCGCTGCAGCTGCTGTAAAAAAAAAACCCTCTCACTGACAATACTTCTCATCTACCGCCGGCCACCCAAACCCAACTCTGCCCTCATCCCAGAGATCCACGATCTTCTCAGTACACTCTGCGCTACCTCTGCCAACATTATAATACTAGGAGACATCAATATTCACCTTGACACCCCCTCCTGTCACTATGCAGCCGAGTTCCTACACCTTCTGGACTGCCTCAACCTAACACAACATGTTGATGTCCCCACACACACTAGGGGACACACACTGGACCTTGTAATCACAAACTCTGCCCCCATTAGTAAACTATCAGTTTACGATCTAGGTGTGTCGGATCACAAGGCCATCTCAATGAAGCTGCCACTGCTGCTACCCCACACCAAACCCAAGCGTCAAATCCGTTTCAGAAATCTGAAAAACATCAACCCGGACACCATGACCTCGGATCTCCAGCATCTCTCCACAATAACTCTTACATCAGTAAATGAATCTGTGGATTTTTACAATACATCTCTGAGCATGTCTCCTGGATCTCCACGCCCCTGTCAAAACCAGAACAGTCACTTTCTCATGCTCAGCCGGCCCTGGTACACCTGGGAGCTGAGGAAAATGAAGACAGCGGGGCGAGTCCTCGAGCGGCACTTCAAGGCTTCAGGCCTCTCTGTTCACAGACAGGCATACCGGGACCACCAAAATGCCTACGCAAAGTCCCTCAGAGACACACGGTCAACATTCTACTCCACCATCATCAACAATAGCCCTGGCAACTCCAAGCTACTTTTGTCCAACATAAACCATCTCTTCAAACCTCAGACTCCGCGACACAAAGACACCACAGAGGAGCAGTGATAATTTCATCACATTTTTCAAGAAAAAAGTAGAGACTCTCTCCTCTCAAACTCCGCTGCTCTGCTAGTCCTGACCGTCAACCCCCAGCCTGGACCGACCCAGCTTATTTGCTGCTTCACTAACATCTCGCAGCATGAAGTTGAGGCCATCATCAAAAAGATGAAACCCTCCACCTGTGCCCTGGACCCCTTTCCCACAGCTTTCGTGAAATCGAACATTGGTGCCATAAGTCCGCTGATCACTTCAGTGATAAACCAGTCCATCCAGTCTGGTCATGTTCCACCACCAGTAAAAGCTGCTGTCATCAAACCACTCCTCAAAAAACCCACTTTAGACCCTGAAGTCCTAGCCAATTACAGACCCATCTCCAGCCTGCCATTCCTATCCAAGGTACTGGAGAAAGTAGTTGCCATTCAGATCCAGGAACATCTAACACTGAATAAACTCTTTGAAAAATTCCAGTCTGGTTTCCGCCAGAGCCACAGTACAGAAACTGCCTTAGTCAGGGTGACCAATGACCTGCTGATGACAGCTGACACCGGATCTCCATCTCTCCTCATCCTCCTGGATCTAACTGCAGCATTTGATACCGTCGACCATGACATCCTACTCCACCATCTTCACACTACAATTGGACTCTCTGACTGCCTTAAACTGGTTCACCTCCTATCTCACCGAGAGGACTGAGCACGTCACCTTGGGAGCGGCTAAATCAAGAACACACTCTGTGACTTGCGGTGTCCCCCAAGGATCAGTCCTCGGCCCCACCCTTTTCACCATATACATGTCCCCCCTTGGTCGTGTCATCAGCCGGCATGGAATATCTTTCCATTGCTATGCTGATGACACACAGCTCTACATCAGAGCAAACCCAACCCCCTCTGCACCTCTGCAATCATCCACAATAACCACATGCCTGGAGGAGATAAAGGTGTGGATGAAGCACAACTTCCTCCAGCTAAACAGCTCCAAGACTGAAGCCATTCTTATTGGCACTCCACATCAGGTTCGTACATCCGCCATCACCAGCATCAACTTCTCCGGTCAGAACATTCCACTCTCATCAACGGTTACCAATCTGGGAATTAAAATGGATCCTCACCTGAACTTTGAGGCCTACATCAAGCAAATATGCACCTCTTTCTACCACCTGAGAAATATTGTGAAACTCCGCCCCACACTCAGTCTGCCAGATGCTGAAAAACTTTGTCTCCTCCAGGCTGGACTACTGTAACGCACTTCTCTTTGGGATTACTAGCAAGAACATCCAGAAGCTGCAATACATCCAAAACACCGCTGCTAGGATCCTGATGAGAGTGCGGAAGTACGAACACATCACACCCATCCTCAAATCACTGCACTGGCTCCCGGTCTCACTCAGGATTGACTACAAAATCACCCTCTTCACTCATCAGTGCATACATGGAAATGCTCCCTCCTACATCAAGGAATTGATCACCCCACAAACCTCCATGAGGAACCTACATTCAGTAAAGGCAAACCTCCTCATCCCACCAAGGACAAAACTGAAGACCATGGGAGACCGAGCCTTCTGCTCCGCTGCTCCGAGACTGTGGAATGCCCTCCCAAACCAGCTGAGGACAACACAGACTGTAGATGCTTTCAAAAAAGGCCTAAAAACGCATCTTTTTAGAATAGCCTTTAACTAGATTTTTTTAATCCCCCACATTATGCCATGCCGGCATGAATGTCACAGCTTTTATTATGTTGTTTTAATTGTTTTTAAATTGTTTTTATTGTTTTTGTTGTTTTGTTTCACCCTTTTTAATTTTGTAGCACTTTGAGTTTTGTTTACGCAAATGAAAAGTGCGCTTATAAATAAAATATATTATTATTATTATAAATAGCTTTAGACCGCGTTGTGCCGTCCAACTTCCTCTGCACCTCTTGCGTTGACCAAAGCCTGAGGAGGTCATTTGTCTCTTCCGCGGTCCATGCTGCTTACATTTAATGGCATCCATCCTGGTTCGTAGTTGTGTGTGTTGCTGTACAGAATTTGCGGCATTTTGTTGTTGTTGATCAGGTTAATTCCGCCCCCCGCCTCCAACGTAAGCGTGAAGTATTGGTTCTTGGTTCTTGCCGGGCAGCTGAGAACCAGTTTTCGGTGCTTAGAGCCGGCCCCGCTGCGGTGGAAACAGGAAGAACCACAGCTAAATCAGGCTCTAGGCCGGAACTGGCTATGGAACCGGTTTGGTGGAAAAGGGGCATAAGTGAGGGTCAAGGGGATCCCTGATTTGTTTTGCCCAGTAGGCCCGTTCAGTAATCCATCCATGTCAATAAGGAATTAATAGAATACATAATGTTAGTGAAATAAGTCTTTACAGTAAGTTAATAATGAATAATCAAGGTCTAAGGAACACACACTCTACTCTGGCTTTTATAATAGGGCTGGGTATGGTTTGAAATTAATCACCAATTTGTTAGCAATTCCAAAATATCTAACAGATATCCTTTATTACAATTTATAAACAAACAAATATTTTATAAATTCAACAACCAATTTCCAAATCTCTAAAATGCATAATGGTTGGAGTTGAATGGTTTTAACACAATAAAACACAGTATAAAATCTACAAAATTAGAACTAAAATCAGGTAAGATCTGAGTAAACTTGGCAAGAACCTGGCTAAGCACTCTATGCTAACTGTCTAGACTTGATAGTTGACTATTGCAACAGCAACCAAAATAAAATTCAAGCAATATGTTTTAAGTTTGATACCCAGCCCTAATGTAATGTAACTACAAACAATAGAAAAATATCAAAAAGATGACACTACTCAAAATCAAAAATCTCTGCCTCTTTCTCTTTCCAAAAAGCAAAACTGCGGTCGATGTATTTACAGATTTCTTCATTGCTAAAACTGGAAATGTCAGTTCCGCTGTTCAGCATCCCCTCGTCCGGCGTAGGTGTCTGCACAATGACCTTAGGGACCTGCCTAACCTCTGGGAGGATATGTTTCACCACTTCTACAGCGCTTTCAGGCTGACTCGTGGTGTTTCCAAAAAACTTCACTTTCATGTCCTCAAAGCCGTCCTTCCACTCGCGGTTCCCAGCCTCGATGTCCTGAATGACAGCCTTATGGAAGTCCCTGACCAGTTCCCAGGGAAAACTCCCCACGTGGTCGAACACCTCGAAACACAGCAGGTGTCTAATTTTGCGTTCGTCTACAGGAAGCTCCAACTCCAGGATGTGGAAGTATCCCAGCATGAAGAGGTCCAGAGTCAGGTTGTCGTACTCCACCGGCACACCGTCCAAACGAGGGAGGAACTGCTCGGGGGAGTATAGAGCCTGCTGCCTGTGGAGCCTGAACACAACACTCAATGGTTATTCGGTTTGTGTTGACACTCGGCTGAAAGTAAAGATGGTACGCTGAACCGTTATTTTGTTGAATAACTTCAATGATCATCCAAATTTCAAACTTGTTTTTTTAAATGTATTTCTAATGAATTAATCAACTTATTGTTATTTTGAACAATTTTTAAAAATCTATTTTTGTTCAGTGAATATATTTAAGTCTTGATTAAAGCAAACAAATTATCCGCTGGGGGGTAGTGTAAGAACTAAAAACAAACTGATTAGCTTGCAAAGTTGATTTGGCAAACAAGTAAGCAAACAATTCCCTATTAACACATTTATCAGACATTATGCAACAATATAAATTATATTTGTGTCCACATAATCATTTTAGGTGCGTTTTCTTTGCTAAGCATGTAGAATATATGGATGGTGAATTACGGCTTGTATGTACAAAAGTTACTGTCTGTTGTTGAAAAAGAGTTGATGAGAGCTGTGAGAAGAAAATAGTACATTTGCTGGCTATAAAACCTCCAACCAACAAACCATAGCGCTGTGACTATTTGAGAGTCAAATTGAGTTGTATGTGGATATAGTTGAAGAGACAAGGTTGAGCATCAATTACCAAGAGGTTAAATGTTAAACAAACATATTATGCCACCAAGTGTGAGAAATACTGTATTAGTAGATGATATTCGTTCTTCTTTTTCTGACTCATCATTAGTCACCACTGGGTTACCAGACCCACAGTTCACCCACACACTAACCTCCTTTTCCCCTCTCTCTCCAAGTGAGGTTCTTACCCTAATTACCTCTGCCCGTCCTACCACCTGTCCTCTGGACCCTATCCCCTCAAACCTCCTTCAGACTATCGCTCCTGATATTCTACCGTTTCTCACCCATTTCATCAACACTTCTCTAACTTCTGGTCACTTTCCAAACAGTCTCAAGGAGGCAAGAGTAAACCCTCTCCTAAAGAAACCCACTCTCAACCCGTCCGATGTTATAAACTACAGGCCTGTCTCTCTCCTCCCGTTCCTGTCTAAAACACTTGAACGCGCTGTCTTTAAACAACTCTCCTGTTATCTCCATCAGAACAACCTTCTGGATCTGCACCAGTCTGGTTTCAAGGCAGGTCACTCCACAGAAACTGCTCTCCTTGCTGTCTCTGAGGAACTGCACACTGCCAAAGCAGCATCCCTCTCCTCTGTCATCATCCTGTTAAACCTGTCTGCTGCATTCGACACGGTGAACCATCAGATCCTCCTTCGCACTCTCCAAGAACTTGGAGTTTCGGGCTCTGCACTTTCCCTCCTCACCTCATACCTCGAAGACCGCACCTACAGGGTAACTTGGAGAGGGTCCGAGTCCGACCCTTGTCAATTAACTACAGGGGTCCCTCAGGGCTCTGTCCTTGGTCCCCTCCTCTTCTATCTGTACACAAACTCGCTCGGATCAGTCATTAGCCCGCATGGTTTTTCATACCACTGCTACGCTGACGACACCCAATTAATTCCGTCCTTTCCCCGCTCAGAGACCCAGGTCGTCGCACGCATCTCTGCTTGTCCAGCGGACATCTCTCAGTGGATGTCTGCTCATCACCTCAAGCTCAACCTTGACAAGACTGAACTGCTTTTCCTTCGGGGGAAAAGATTGTCCCACTCTTGACCTGACAATCAACATCAGCCCCTCTGTTGTTTTCCCGACTCAGACTGCAAGGAATCTGGGTGTGACCCTAGATAACAACCTGTCCTTCACTGCAAATATCGCTGCTACAACCCGCTGCTGCAGATACACGCTTTACAACATCAGGAGGATACGTCCCCTCCTGACCCAGAAAACGACGCAGGTTCTGGCCCAGGCTCTCGTCATCTCACCTGCATGTGCCATCCGACCTCTGCAGCTCATCCAGAATGCAGCGGCTCGTCTGGTCTTCAACCTTCCAACATTTTCCCACACCACGCCGCTCCTCCGCTCCCTTCACTGGCTTCCGGTAACTGCTAGAATCCACTTCAAGATAATGGTACTTGCGTACCATGCTGTGAATAGATCTGGCCCTTCCTACATCCAGGACATAGTTAAACTATACAACCCAGCATGTGCACTCCACTCTGCATTGGCCAAACGGCTCGCTGCACCCTCGCTGCGAGGGGGACCCAAGTTCCCATCAGCAAAAACACGTGGGTTTGCTATCCTGGCTCCAAAATGGTGAAATGAGCTCCCCATTGACATCAGGACAGCAGATAGCTTACACATCTTTCGGGGGAGACTGAAAACTCATCTCTTTCGACTCCACTTTGAACGATATAATTACTAACAAAGCACTTATATACTAATAAAGGACTGGCTTATATAAAGCCAGTTGAGTAGCACTTGAAATGTTTTAGCTCTATGAAACCTGATGTACTTATATGATTCTGTTTTCTTGTTGGTCGAACGCACTTATTGTAAGTCGCTTTGGATAAAAGCGTCAGCTAAATGCAATGTAATGTAATGTAGTATGGGGCAATCGTACGGAAATACCTGCGTATTTGTCTGGACGGGACACTGGAGATCATGCTCCTCCAGTTCCCCAGCATCTTGTTGACGGCGCTCCTCTGCTTGAAGAAGTGTCCCAGAGAGCTGTTCATCATGTTGGACGGGGCGCTCTCCACGCTGGTCCTGCGACCCAGCCCTGGTTGGTCGCACATCCCTGGGTTCCCTCCACTCGTCTTCCTCTCTGCTGCGTCCTTACTCTTCAGGGTCACGGTGTAGGCCGACTTCTTCCAGTGGCCTAAGAACAGCACCACTATACGCTCCTTTCTGAGGCTGGTGGTCTCTAGAACATCTGCAACATTTTCATCATAGTCAATGCCGGAGTCGCTGTTCTGGTCCGTCTCTGGGGCCGGACACAGGACTTTAGGATTATTGTCTGACTCTGTGCCCTCAGGCTGTGTGGGGGAACACAACACAACAGCCTCCTCTGGCTCCTCTGAAGGTGAGTTCTCTGTCTCAAAATTATACTTCAGAGTCCTCACAGACACACCAAACTGATGGATTTCATTCTCTATCCTCTCCCTGCGGCCCCTGGTGGAGTTCTGTCTGTCTGGCGTCTGAGAGAAGACGGATATGAGCTCGGTGTTGGGCATCTTACAGTAGGGCTGGTCTGTCAGGTTGGTCATGAGCAGAGACATGCTTTTCACGATGCCCGAGATGCGGCCACACCACACTGGTAGAGGAACTTGACTTGAGAAGTTTCTAAACTGTGTGTTGACTGTGATGTTCACTATGGGGGCGGGCAGAATGTGCCGGAGCTCCTCAGCTAGACGAGCGAGCTCAATCTCGTAGCCTTCACAGTTCCTCTGCAGGGAGACGTTGGCGATCTGCTGCTCCACATAGATGAGGTCATCCTCAGTCAGCAGCTCACCGGAGGGCCCCAGGATGGCATTGTGGGCTTGGGAGTACCTCCAGCTGACTTTGGCATATCTGCCATTTTCCTGCAAGAGAAGAGGCCGGCAGCAGGCAGCAAATAAACATGCGGGATGTCATTTTCATATTCCACATGGCTTAAGCGTGAGAGGAAAAGACTAATGCAACAGTAAAACTGCGATCCAAACCTCAGGAATATAACTTGACCAGTAATATGTTATGTGTTCAGTGATTTGTTAGGTGCAATTAAAAGTAAATGATGATTGAGTTTCCAAGTTTTTTTTCAAATTGTCAGGAATGCAGATTTAGAATAGCATCACAAATTCAGCTAACTGTGGTCAGGCTCAATGAGCATTTGTTTAGAAGGGGCTGTGCAGAATTATACAGATTTTACTATTTAAAAATGAATAAAACTGTTTCAGTTTGATTCTCCCAAATGATGACCTATTGACTAACTCTTTTAGGTGATTTTATCAAAACAAAATCAAATTACACAAAATCTATCCACATAAAATAAGTCAGGGATAATGAAAACAGAACGATGTTGATCACTGTTTCACATTATCCCGCTTATTACCGGTCACATACTAAATACAAAAATTATCATATTGCTTCCACTAAGAATTTTTTTTTCCATTCCACGACCTACCAACGGCTGGAACTTCAAATAACAGCAGCACTGATCGAGGATTTCTGTATCTGTCCAAGTTCACAGATCCGTTCCACTAACACTTGAACAATGCCAGAGCCCACACCGTGTTCCTTTGATCCTCTTTGCAACAGCCATTATTTTGCTTAGCAGTGGTTGTGTTATGTGTTATTGATTATTAAAAACTTCTAAAATAGCCAGATTGACCAATCAGAATTGAGTATTTAACCAAGCCGTGTGATAACTCCTGAATAACACCAAACTAGAACATGTCTAAGCTGGCCACTAACCTGTGCGGCTTCTATAATCACATAAGATATGTAGTATTTGTACGAGGGGTTTTAAAGTTTTAGACTGTGGACCTTTCCTCAGACAAAGCTTTCACCCATTAGGCACTCAACAATTGAGACAAAATAGCCTAATATCGATGTTTCACATAACTTTAGACTACACTGAAAACATTTCTAACTGTTCCTGCATTAATAATGTGAGCCTGATTCAGAGAGACCTTACCTTCCTCCTCTGGTCCTCCTCATCCAGCAGCCTGGCCTGCAGCTGCCTAACCATCACCTGCCTCTTCCACTCAGCGATGGGCCGGCCTCTCTCGTCGTGGGTGGGCACCAGGTAGTCGATGTCGGACAGGTTGGCCTGCTCAGTGGGCAGGACCACCATCTTGTTCTGAGAAAGATGCAGCATATGAGCTGCTAAAGAAAGGAAGCACTTACAAAAGAAGGATGTTCAACATTAGAAAGCTTACTGCACTTACTGCTTGTCCAGTGAACGTTCCTGATATTCCTGATTGTTTTAAGGATTGAATGGATTTCATGTCCCCAAGAAGCTTCCTTCCAGCTAGGAGGTTTGCGTCAGGCAACATCGTCTTATCAGCAGGGGCAGACTTCTGACTCCCAGCTACCTTGGGCCCATTGAAACCTTTAATAACTGAAATGCAAATCATAATCTGTGTCACATACATCATTTTTCCTGTCCAGTACTGACTTCCAGTCTTGGTTGAAAGAATGATTTAATTACAGAAGCCTTAGAATCTAGTTTTCTCCTGTGTTTATGACTTAACAATATTTCATACGTTTGTTCACCTGTGTATACGCTACCTAACCAGACTAAAAACGCAGAATAAGCTCTGATTAACATACATTTGTAGACAAAAGAAAGACAACATAACTTGCTAATATTCTTTTACAAGGCAAAACTTTTTTTGTAAACACATTTAGAACATTTGTTCTCACCAGATGTTGCAAATTTAACCCGCACCATTCTGTTAATGCTTTTCTCCGGCTTGGCAGGAGGGGATGAAGCAGGTGAGGGGGGTGCAGGGGAGGGCTGAGGGTATCTGGCCTGCGGGGATTCCTCACTCTGAGGTTGCTGGTGTGAATATGAGAAGATACACGGTCACTTTGCAATGTTTACAGTGTAGTTTGTGCAATCGAGAAGGTTAAATAGGTGAAGTGCATTATGTGTAAATAGGATTGGACACAATAGGGATATGTGCAATTTGACGGACACTATGCATAGGTGCAATAGGGAAAGTGCAATATTGATTTGTGTATGAATACAGTAGGGAACGTGCAATATTTGATTTATGTAAAAATACAATAGGGAAAAGTGCAATTTGATTATGTATGTGCAATAGGGATATGTGCAATAGGGAAAGTGCTGTACCTGTATGTTTCTTGTTTGTTTCTTTGCCATGTGATATGTGATCTCTGTTCTGTATCTATGACTGATTGACCTGAATGTTTTATGTGTATTATCTCGATGCCCAAGACACATTTCTCCTAAGGGAGACAATAAAGCTTTATCTTATCTTATCTTTGGGTTCAGGAAATAAAGAAGAATTATGAGGAAAAAGTGAACTGAGAGTTTACCTTCAAACTATCCATTGGTGTGTTATTGCTGTAGCTGTCCCTGCACGGGTCACTCAGGCTGCCGTAGTAATCCTCCCTGCTGCACTGCAGAACCACAGCCGGCTTCACCTTCACCTCCTCCTCCACCTCCACTGGAGCTCTCTCCTGGGTGGGCTCTGCACAGGCTGTCTGCAATTATAACAGAGTCACACTCAATACAAGAAAAGATAAAGATGAACTTTATTGTATCCCCAAGGAGAAATTCAGGTGTTCAGTTGTGACACACAGTACAATACACACACATGCACCAGACACGACCTATACACAGTAGGACTGAATACAAACACATGCATTTTTCTGTTAGGCGAGATGAGCGACCAGCAGGGGCGGACTGGGGGGAAAAAGTGGCCCGGGGATTAATTGACAGACAGGCCCACTTAATGAGCGGCATGTATCGGCCGGCCGGCGACGAAAGTATGTTACTTAACAAAAAACCCTATGCATTTTATGTTATTTTGGACAATTATTCATATAGTAATCACATTACCTGATCCCTTGAGTTGCCTAGCAAAACAGTTACACATATATTTAGTGATTTTAATGTTAACAGATCATTGATGCAATAACATTTTGACCCAATTTGCCTGACTTGACACATGGAATAAAACATGGGCGTAGGAAGCCCTTGAGCAAGGCACCGGACATCCCCCTTACCCCCTCACTCCCATTGCTCCCCGGGCGCTGTACAATAGCTGCCCACTGCTCCTGGTACTAGACTCCTGGTACTAGGATGGGTTAAAAGCAGAGAACACATTTCACTGTGTGTGCTGTGTGCTCTGCATGTGTGACCATTAAAGAGGGTTTCATCCCTACCAATTCTTCTTCGTCTTCTTCAACACCCATATAAAACAGAACTGTAAACAGATTTACTTTTTCTTTCAACATTTATTTGAACAGCAAGTGGAGGCAAAAGTGACTGCACCCAAAACAATAAATCTGCTAGCTAACTAGCCTAAACTCAGTAACAGAATGTGGGCAACACGTTCTTCTCCACAGCTGCGCGACCTCTGAGTCAGACGTCACTTCCCCCTTTTCTATCCTACGGGTACAGCCCATGTACAGCCGTACAGCCACTCCCCCTGAACCCCGTTTCCCTGCCCAGCCCCCCCCCCCCCCCCTCCCCTATGCAAGCCCCTCCCTCTGAACCCAGGGCTCGCTACAATACTATATACCAGTGACCACCAACTGGCGGCCCGCGGGCCACATCCGGCCCGCCAGACATTCTCATCCGGCCCGCACGACTGGGGTGACTGTGGCGTTGGCGGTGTCACTACCCGATCTGCAGCTCTGCCCGATCTGCAGTGCGCATGTGCGAGATGGTCCGCCATATTGGACAACTCCGGACGGCAACCCGAGATGGACACTTGACACAGTGGCTTTTAGCAAAGCTCAAAAATAAAACGAGAGAGAGATGAGTTATTGTTATTACGACGTGACTTCACTATTATTTAACAACTCTTTTTATTGGGTTCTTTTATTTGGGGTTAAGTACATTGTCAGAATAAGTGAGAAATGGATTTAACTTCTGTTAGACAGCTATCATACTGAATACATATTTACTGTGAATGTGTGCAAAAATGTATGGCATATGGCTGTCTAACAGAAGTTAAATCCATTGGACAACGCCGGACGGCAACCCAAGTAGGACAAAATTGACATCTAGACCGTCTGAACCATTCGCAAGTTTTTACATGTGACAAAATATGCATTGCGCATTCGCGAGTTTTTACATGTGACAAACGGTGATTTGTAGAGTTTTTACATGTGACAAACGGTGATTTGCATTGCATCTGACAGAATGAAGACTTTTGCATCTGACAGAATGAAGACTTTTGTGTTTTATTACAGAATGAAGACTTTTGCATCTGACAGAATGAAGACTTTTGTGTTTTATTATTTGGGGTTAAGACAGAGCCTATCATACTGAATACATATTAGAGCAAATCTCTGTTATCAGTCCTTTTCTTCAGACTATTATTTCTAAATTTGAAAGAGTCCTTACCAGCTTTGGAATTGTGTGTATATATATATATATATATACACAATTCCATATATATATATATATATATAGCACCTTCTGCCATATCGTCACCCTTTGCAGTGATTGACTTGAACACTGAGAATGTTTTTATGAACTTCAGACATTTTCATATACAAATGTGATCATACACCAACACACAATTTTAGAGATATACATTTTTCACACACAACCATTTACTAAATTAAACCATATCCCATCATAATACGAGCAAATAAGAAGGCACAGCAATAAATATATTGTGTGTGTGTGGGTGGGGGGGGTGTTAAGATCCAGGTCCAATGGGGGCAGAGGGGAGAGGTGGGAGAGTTCAGCATCCTACAGGAAATGTCATTTGCATGTAATATTATTTATTCATATGGAATTATATAACTGGAGTTTGTTATCCTTTAATTTTGCTTGATTAATTAAAAAAACACAAACACAAACATAAAAAAGGGGTCATTCAGGAATACAATTATTATATTATAAATAATAATAAAATAATAAATAATATTATAATATTGAATTAAATATATTTTTGTATAGTATTATTTCATTTAGAAAGGCAATACAAATACAATAGAATAAAAATACAATACACAACTTGGGACAGAGCTAAGTAACTGATCAGTTAGTCACAACACAAAATAACAGGAGAATGAGAATTAATTACCTTTTACTGTAAAGTTCGATGACGCACGGCGCATTTGATCTCGCTCATTTTTAGAGAGGTCTGTGTGAAATTCACCTTCAGACATGTATTCTCTCAAATTGTTGTAAAACACTAAAGTCTTCATTCTGTCAGATGCAATGCAAATCACCGTTTGTCACATGTAAAAACTCTGCAAATCACCGTTTGTCACATGTAAAAACTCTGCAAATCACCGTTTGTCACATGTAAAAACTCGCGAATGCGCAATGCATATTTTGTCACATGTAAAAACTTGCGAATGGTTCAGACAGTCTAGATGTCAATGTTGTCCTACTTGGGTTGCCGTCCGGCGTTGTCCAATATGGCGGACCATCTCGCACATGCGCACAGCAGATCGGGCAGAGCTGCAGATCGGGTAGTGACAGTGACAGGCGGAGTGGTTACTGCGTTCGTTCCACGCCCATTTTTTTTTTTTACAACGTCTCGTGAGTAAGGTGCAGTACCGGAGTCCAACAGAGAGGCAGCAGCTGCGGGACAGTAGACTGCGAAACCTTCCCTGCCTTGAAGAAGAAGTGATCCTTCGTTGTGAAGAGTCTGCTTTGTGCGCTCCGCAACACAGCAGTAGCCACGCTGCGACAGAGTCCAACAGAGAGGCAGGAGCTGCGGGACAGTATCCTAGAAGCAGGGTTGGGTTGTAACCGTCTATGGTTTGTAACGGAATACATGTAACGGCGTTACGTAATCAGAATACAAAAATCAAGTAGGTTAACTGTATTCAGTTGGCGTTACATTTGAAAAACGAGTAATCTGATTACAGTTACTTTCGTAAACCTGAAGTGAATACATTTTGGAATACTTATTGGAATTATTGGTGGAAAAGTTTCCTCACAAAATGTAATATTCATTACCGGCAGAACTGTGTGCACACTGCACGGCGCTGCAGCATGTCTGTGAGCGAGAGAGAGATGCAGCATGTCTGTGAGGCCCCGCCCCCGCACGCAGATGAGAGAGAGATCTATTTTAAAATATATTGAAAGTTAGAAACGGAGATGGTTAAATAAAATGTGCAAGATAACGTTTATGTAGCATTTCTTTATTGTCGAAATGATGACATTTCATAACGGGATCAAATCAAAGTGAATGGCCTGCTGCTGCTGAAGGCATGGGGCAAGTGACTGGAACAAGTTTTAAAAGATTAACGAGGCTGTTGTTAAATTACAGGCTGTTTTTAACATTATTCAGGCTCAGATCTCTGAGCTTAAGCTTCTTTTAAATGTGGATAAAACCAAGGTAATGCTCTTTTCTAAAGCTAAAGCTAAAAATACACCAGAGACTGCTTTGGATATTGTAACTACGCAAGAAATACAACTTGAAGTGGTTACCTGTTACAAATACTTGGGTATCTGGCTTGATGACTGTCTCACTTTTAAACTTCATGTCAATAACCTGCTTAAAAAGCTGAGGGTTAGGCTAGGTTTCTTTTACATAAATAAGTCCTGTTTCTCGCTTGAGGCCAGGAAAAGGCTCTGTGACCTTTTTACCTGTGCTGGACTATGGTGATTTGTTATATATGAATGCACCTGCCCATTACCTGAGCAAGTTAGATGCTGCGTATCACAGTGCTCTGAGATTTTTGACAAATTGTAAAGCACTTACGCATCACTGTACCCTGTATACCAAGGCGGTTATGCCATCACTTACTGTACGGAGGCTCAGTCACTGGTACTTTTTCATTTACAAAGCCATGTTGGATAAACTACCATCTTATATCTGCTCCCTGATCTCTCTGCGAATTGAAAGTACTTATTGCCTGAGATCGCATGCTGTGGTTTTATTAAATGTGCCAAGTGCTAGGACTGTCTTAGGGAAGAAAGCTTTTAGATGTGCAGCTCCACTAACATGGAACAGTCTGCAAAAAGAATGGAAAATTACCAAGCTAGTACCACTACATGTTTTTAAAGCTCGGTTGGATGCTACAAAATCAGATGCTGTTGGTACCTGTACTTGTGGTTAAATATGTAAATTGTAATCCCTGTACATTTTGCTGTATGATGTCCTTTTGTTGTTCTGTTGTTTATGTCTTCTTGTGGAACCTACTGCTGCAGGTCTCCCTTGAAAAATAGATAATTGATCTCAATGGGATTTTACCTGGATAAATAAAGGTTTTGAATTGAATTGAATTGCAAAGTTATTACATCGTTTCAGATAATAATAATAATACATAATAATGATAATTCATTCTATTTAGGGGCGCCTTTCAAAGCACCCAAGGACACCTTACAATTCATAACATATTCCAAGGAAAGGTTTTAAGGCAGTACAAAGAATGCAGTCTGGTTGATGTTTTTTATGTGTGGTGCAGATGAGAGGGAGCTGTCCAGAATGACACCAACATGTTGTGTTTGAGTTCTTGATAAGCCATTAAACAGTAAAATAAGTGTCTCCTGTTCACCAAAA